ATATATATATACGTGTGCGTGCGTGTGTATGTGTGTGTGTTAAATAGGGTTGTTTGTTGGATTTGCCTATTAAAGGTTATTTTTTAATTATTTACTCGGTTAGAACGGAAGTGGTCATTTACTTTTATTTGTCATGCTAATATTCCTAGAGTTAAAACAAATTAATAAGCTTAAGCAAATTTTTATTGGACGGAAATAATTCTTCTTTTAAATTTCTCCTCGCTGGATTTCGGTGGATCCTTCTTTGTACATATTTTTGTTTGATTTCGTGATTGTATCAAAGTTAGGGTCACCTGTCGAAAATTTTGATATTCGCATTTCTGTGGCAAAAAAAGCGTCATACATGAAACTTAGGCAAACAAAATGTTGCCATATTGGTTTGGAACTTTATTTTATCGAACCCACACACACGCACACACACACGCTCATATATATATATATATATATATATATATATATATATATATATATATAAATAATATAATATCTGTATGCGTGTTATAAAACTTAATATTTAGCGCAACCCTCAGACATTTTCCAACCTAGAAAGCACAATCAAATTGAATATGTGGGTGTAGATGCATTTATACGAGAGGTATAAACAACCAATATTATGGTTGTAGCTTGTAAGGGCTTTTGGTTTGTGTGTCGTCGGCTTAATGCGTAGTCTCATTCGGTCAAGTCTGTTGGTCATTTGTTGTTCGTTTGTTTGTGCCATTCAGTGGCTTGCCGACCCTGTATATTCAACATCTCCACATTTTTGTAATTTAACTTTAAAATAATATTTGCATTTTAGGATTTTATATGATTTGTTGATGCTGTGAAACTTTGTAAATAATACTGTTGATGACAACATCATTACACATTTACTATGTGGACCCACCATTACATATTAACTATACGGACTCACCATTACATATTAACCATATTGATTCACTGCGGTGGATTCACAGGGAATATCGGTAGTTGTAGGAGATATGCCATTATAGGAATAATGCCAATAGAGTGAGGACGATGATTAAATGTGAACGATATTGGTATCAATATATTATTATACACACATTATTAAATTTTTATGAGTTCTTTAAATTTCTATCTAGGTTTTTATTAAAAATTAGCTTTTCATAGAATGTTTTCAAAGCTTCTTTGCAATTTGCGGAGTTTTTATTGGACATGCCCTTTATCCCGTGCTAACTTTTTAAATGCTGTTATTCCTGCGCCATCGTCTCATGTACTGTACTGTCCCTTCCTTCGTTGTGGTTACGTTCCATTTATATTGTATCATTATTAAAAGTCTTCTTTTAAAGTTGCTTTGTAGTTTTTATGGCACAGTGGCGAAACATAACCTGTCGGTGTCGCTATCGAGTATTACGTGAATCACTCATCTGCATTTGTATCATTATTAAAAGTCTTCTTTTAAAGTTGCTTTGTAATTTTTATGGCACAGTGGCGAAACATAACCTGTCGGTGTCACTATCGAGTATCACGTGAATCACTCATCTGCATTTGTGTAGTACTTAACTTGTATTATATTCCCACATATGCGTGCGTGTGCGTGTGTAAGCCCGTTATATAAAAATTTGAACCAGCATTTTTGCAAGGGGCCGCTACGTTTTGTTGAATATTCAATTAGGTTAAAAACAGCCAAGGTTACAGAAATTGGAAAAATATATACCCTAATCTTAACTCGGTCATCATTTATTTGCAGCTGAATAAATTTTTGTAGCTGGCCTTATTAACTATTTATTCGCTACAAATTCTATATCACGGCCTACATCACGTTTATTGGTTGACGGAGCCCGTTATATATATATATACACACACACACACACACACACACACACACACACATATATATATATATATATATATATATACTCAAAACAATGCACTTTTCCTCGTGTTAAATGAATAGTTCGATTTGGTACAACCTGCTGCCCCATAATTTCGTATCTTATGTAATGAGTGCATGCCATTCGTTCAATTCATTCAACTATATGCACAATAATGTTCATCATCCTTTGTTTGTTTGTACGTCGTTTGTTACGTCCGTTGATTTGTTTGCTTGCTGCGTTTGTTATGTTTACGATAGTGTAAGTTATGCTTGTTCAAGTGATAATAATTTTATTTTATTCATTTTTTCCTATTTTATATATATATTTATCTCACACACACACACTCACACACACGCATATATATATATATATATATATATATATATATATATATATATATATATATATACAATATATATATATAATATATGTGCTGGTAAAAGACCATAATTAATGCAGTAATTTATGGAATCAACCGAATTTCTAGCGTTGGATACTTTTTTGTTACATTTCTCAATATTTCTAACAGAATTCTTGTCGTCGTAATTTATTTTATTAAAATCAGAATAATATACAGTTTTACAATTCGAAAGTGAATTATTTATATATATATATACGTATATATATACACGTATACATATACACGTGTATATATATATATATATATATATATATATATATATATATATATACAGTAATTTATGAAGTCTGTTGACCTATACGTTGGAAACAACGCTAGAAATTCGATAGATTTCATAAATTTCTGCTTCAATTATGGTCTTTTACCAGCATGTACTAAAATATCTATGACCAACCGAAGAAACTTAACAAGCGAAGGACAACGTGAGCAACGAATGCTCCATCATCTTTTTCATGAGTTGATAGCAAATTAACGCTAGAAATTCGACAGATTTCATAAATTACTGCATTAATTATTGTCCTTTATCAGCATATGTATGTGCGCGTCTGCGTGTGTATGTATAACATTCACTATTTTATTTATCGTCTTTAAAATTTTTTTTATCACCTTGGTCTTATCTCATTTTAATAGCCGTGTAAGGCCGTCGATAAAAGAAATGCAGTCGTCATCATTCACTGAATTTTTATTGCAGACACCATCGTGTATATTTCATATAATATTAATTATATTCAAGTTTGTAAATACATTCATAACGTTGTTATTCAAATTAGGGTTACAACGTTAAATTTGATGGACAGTTGTGCCCGCCAGTCTCCGTGCACATTGCGTCGCGTTCGAAATTTGTTATAAATTAGTTTATAGGTTGGCACATGTCTTATGCTTATTATTGTGAATCCATGTACCACCAGTACATCGGCATACGATCAAATCATTTCTAGAAATTAAATGTATAATTGAGAGTCGTTCTTATTTATTTTAATTAATTATTTATTTATTTATATTTGGCTTCAAAACATTTTCAATCTTGTAAATGCGATTTGTGTGTTATTGTTTTAGACTTTGTTTTATTATAAGTTAAAAATAATTTTAACTCTTTTTACATAGTTCAGTTGGTATTTATGATTTTATCATTTTTTGTGATTACGTAATAATTATTTCATGAAAACCATAATTTAATTAATTAATCATTTAATTTATCAATCAATCAATTGATTGATTGATTGATTGATTGATTGATTGATTGATTGATTGATTGATTGGCTTGTGAATAAATTCATTCTCCACTCTGTTTATACGTCAAAACGTTCTGTTAAATTTAAATTTCAAAGGTAATGTGCTAAGATTGTAAAGCTGACGGCAATCATTTAAACGGAGGAGAAGTCATAGCAATAACTTCTTACTTCTCGAAATTTGGCTAAATGACGAGCAAACCGTCATAAGATTTTTTTATTATTCCTTTAGTAATTTTCTAAACCAGATATTTTTTTGAAAATTAGGTGTGTCTCAGAAAACAAAATGTTAACATGTAAATCGTTGAAAAATGTTGAAATAGTCTCTAGTCGTTGGAGCTGTTATTTGGCTACTTTAAATCTATTTTGATGCTTTTTAGTTGCTGGCCAAAATTTCTAACCGGGCTACACACCACCCACGTCGCTTTTGAAAAACCTTTTTGCCCATTGAAAATCAAATCAATTTTTATAAGTGAGTTCATGAAATTATTTCTGATGGATAAAACGCTTTTGTATGATCGAAACCAGCCGCGTCTATGTAATGAAATTTCTATTAGGTTGGCAATATCACCATGTTGTAATTTTTATATCTTCGTAAGACCACATGACTGGCTTAATTAATTATTATTAAGTAATTACAGTTCTCGACAGAATAATCGCAAACTGACGCTTTTAAAAGAATTCAGAATTTAAACGATAGTAGTAGCATCGAGTCGTCGATGGTCTTGGCATCGTCACATGTGCAGTCGTGGAAGGGTATTTTGTGGTGCAACCGGAGTTCAATTTGCTACTTATTATTTCCATGCTGATTTGATGCCCGCCTATGGTAACGCCGTTTTACTAACCTGGTGGTGACTTTTGTACTGTCTGGATTAGACTATTGCAATTTGTTGCTGTATGGTGCTGGTGTAGTGGTAGTGAATAAAGTTTAACGAATCCAGGACGCTGCCGCCAGATTGGTCATTGGTCTAAGTAGACGTGATCACATTATAAAGTGGCTGGAAAGTCTCAGTAATCACAGTACACTCCTCTGACGAATGTCAATAGAGTGAATAACATAATAATAATCTTTGCCGAAACCGATGTCAGCGACATAGCCGATGATGGACAGTTGCTTAATTGTTTGTATCCAATATTAGTTCTGTAAAGACCAATGTTACGAGTTACGACATCGTGTATATCGCCTGCAAATATGCAACGCAATGGAAAATGATTGCGATAAGTTCCAGAAATAGATTTGAGATTTCATGGGAAGGAATATCCTGTTGGATATTTTCTTATGTTTATTTAGGATATTTGGTATTTAAATAATTGGATTACAAACGGATGAAAACAGTTTTTGTTTATTAGTGAGAATAAATTGATTAGTGCCGTCGCACTTTGCGTTTTCATTGAAATGACACGCATCTAATCATGGCGACAGTTTTAACTTATTTTGTCAAAATCTAGCAGGACGTTAGACCGCTTATCATGGTTTATATGTATTATGTACATCATGACTACTTGAAACACGAGTTTATATATTTAAATTTATTGGATGGTAAATAAACTTTCATGAATCAGCGAAAAATGTTGAAAATAATTTAAAATTGCACAGATAGGCTATGAGTTGCCTATTTAAATTATAGGCACGTGATAGTTCATAAATGTTTTACGGAGGATACGGTGATCAATATTTCGAGATCTTTGCTTCAAGAACTATTTTGAACTTAACTTTGGCTTTCTCATCACAAATTACAGGAATTTTAAACAAATGGTATCGACATTTACTATTCAATTTAACGATGTTAATACAAATTTATTATTTACAAATTTTGATGGGCGATGGAAGATAATGTGTATAAAAATATATATTATTAATGTTCTCCGCTTTAGAAATCTTTGTCCCAGCCAGTGAGATCATCTGGTGGGTCGGGGTCAGTATCAGGAGGAAACGTATCAAAATTGCTCACATCCGATCTATCTTTCACCTGAATCAGTGATTCGAATTGTGAGTTATCATTTTAAGCAATTTGTTTCTTTTATTCAATAATTAATAAAAAATGTTAAACGTAATTACTCAAATCTAACTGGCAACAGAAATTTAAACTCGTTTCTTATATTATAAAGATTTTCAAAATTGCCAATAATTACCAGAAGTATGAAAGGCGCTCTTAAAGCTTTGTTTTTCAGGGCTTCCCAGTTGAAATTGTTCAGCCACTTGTGTTTACGAACATCTTTCAAGTTAATTGATCCGTGTCCAAGCCGATCTGATGGATTGTCTCTGTTCAACATAGAACAGAAGTTTTACATTAAAATTGAGGAAACTGAACTTGAAACATTCAAATATATGTGCCAAATAACTATCACCACGAACTTATTTGTTTATCAAAATAATAATGAAATTATTTTAGAAAATAAAAAAAATATTATTTGCCTGCAAAGTTTTCTAATAAAACTTTGTGCATGTTTTGGAATCTGGCTGGAAAAGCTGACGTTGTCGATTCCTTTGAGGATGAGATTGTAGGTTTTCATAGGCTCGGAAGCAGTGAACGGAGGACTGAAGAAAATAATAAAGATAATGATATTATTATTATTATTTTTATTATTAATAGTAGCATTAGGAAGGGCAGTAGTAGTCAAATCGTTTAGCAATTCATGTTTTTGCTTGGAAAAATAAATTATTTTTGTAATGGAAAATATATTTGATGGAAATCAGCAACGACTGACGCAATTACTAGACAAACTTAAATGACTAGTTCCTGTTACAATAAAATCGATTTCATTTTCACAACTTAATTTAGATGTTTTAGTATATACATATTTTAAATAGTAAATTGATAGTATATTTCACCAACTTTCCGCTGAGCAGTTCGTAGGCAAGTATACCAAGGGACCAGAGATCTGATGTGGCGTCATGTCCTCTGTTCAGTATAATTTCGGGAGCAACGTATTCAGGAGTTCCGCAAAACGTCCAAGTACGACGACCAACTCCTATTTTTTTGGCAAATCCAAAATCGACCTGAATATTTACAGAACGGAAATTTTAAAGCAAGAACTAATTGGTGGCAAATTACAGTAAACAGACCATTTTGATGTAACCATAATCATCGAGGAGTAAATTTTCAGGTTTGAGATCTCTGTAGATGATTCCTTTAGAGTGCAGGTAGGTGAGAGCTTCGATGACGCATGACACATAAAATCGGCTGGTGCTATCGTCAAATGAAACTCTGAAATCATTTCAATGCTTGGCGCTAATAAACTCATAAAGACAAACCAAGTGGCCAGTTTAAAGAAAGAAACTACAAAATGACGATCCTTATTTAAATAACTGAGAAACAAACTTGTCTCTGAGCAGAGTCCAGAGTTCACCTCCAAGACAGGGTTCCATCAACATGTACAAGTACTTGTTGTCTTTAAATGTTTTGAACAATCTAAATGACACCGAACAAAAAAAAATGTTGAACGATCTAAGTACTTATTTAATAACTAGTAAAAATAAGCCTATACTTTCAATGAAGAAAAAGTTTACAATTTATAATTAGCATAAAAAAGACGAGGAATCTTACTTGACGACGAAATCGCATTTGCATTCGAGCATAATGTTCCTCTCATTCAGTATGTGTTCCTGCTGCCTCGTCTCCACGATGTGACTCTTCTTCATTCTCTTCAGAGCAAACGATCGGTTCGTGTCGTGCAACGGTTGAACCTGTTCACAAATGTTTGTTTGTTTGTTTGTTCGATTGTTTTTTCAATGGTATGTTTGGCATTTGGCTGATTGCTTGTTTGTTAGATTGTTTGTTTAATTGTATGTTTGGCATTTGGCTGATTGTTTGTTTGTTAGAATGTTTGTTTCATTGTTTGTTTGTTTGATTGATTGTTTGTTTTTTGCTCAATTGTTTGCTTTTTCGATTGTTTGTTAATTGTTAGTTTGTTCGAATGTTTGTTTAATTGTTTTGATGATTGTTTGTTCGACTGTTTGTTTGGTTTTCGTGTTATTTTAAACTGCCCTTTAATGTTAACAATTTTGCTAAATAAACTAACTAATCAACACTTGCAATTTACAATTATTTTCATTTTTGAAAAAAGAAATTTTTTTAGAATGATGGAACAAGTGAATAAAAAGTTGTTGAATAAAGCGTGTTAAAAGTTCAGTATGATAATCAGGATGCGGTATTACGGATGGCAGTTTCTCGTAGCAACAACCAGCTCACAACAACAACAACAACAACCTGCACACAACAACAACAACCAGCTCACAACAACAACCTGCACACAACAACAACCAGTTCACAACAACAACCTGCACACAACAACAACCGACACACAACAACAACAACCGACACACAACAACAACCAGCTCACAACAACAACCAGCTCACAACAACAACAACAACCTGCACACAACAACAACAACAACCTGCACACAACAACAACCGACACACAACAACCGACACACAACAACAACAACCAGCTCACAACAACAACAGCAACCGAAACACAACAACAACATCTCACCAGATCAACTCTGCCAAACCCTCCTATGCCAATAGTGGCAACAAGCTTCAAATCAGCAACGCTCCTGATGTCCTGAGGTTCCAGGGCCACTTGGGACAGGTTGATTGTGCTGTTGTGTTATATTAACATCGTGCAACGTAGCATCGGGTCATTAAGTTGCGTTGACAATTATTGCAAGCTAGCACATAAATAAATTGAAGTTGATGGGAGTTGGTTGGCAAGTAAAGTCATGTGTCGTTAGATTCGGGTCATTTGAATGATATATTCCAAAATATATTCGAAAAAAACTTACCTATCGGTTCTTGTGGGGGTAGTTGAGATGCTCAACTGCGTCATCATCTGGGCGATTGCTCTGCAGAAAGTTGCATGTGCGTTATACAAATATTGAACAACTGTACAGTGTACATACGTCGAACGGCGCAATGCGTACAAATACTGAACGCATTTTTGTTTTGTGTAAGTATCGTAAGTTTAAATTATTGAATCATATGTGCTACATAAACTACAAATGCATTAAGGGTCTTTAAAATTATGAAGAATCAAGAATGAAAAAGAAAGTAGTTTGTACTCATTTTCAAGCAAGTAGACCTCGGCGCCTGCCTCACCCGCCACCACGATTGTCTGGGAAGTGATCTTCCTGTTTTGTGCGTTAATGAAAGTTGGTTTGATTTCAGAGCGGCCAGAGGCTCGGTCCCGCGCTGCTGCAGTTGTCGGGTTCAAATGCAAGAGATGTGCACGCTGTGTACTTGCCGGTAGTTGAATCCAAAAGAACATCTAATCTAATATGGCATAGGGCGCTATATAAATTAATACTTTTTCTGAAGGAAATGTCGTTGTTGTTAATAATTAATATCTTTGTTGATGTTTTCCTGTTTAACGTCTGATTTGTTCTGTTACATTCCATGTGATATGGTGTGGCTGCTTGTGCTAGCTGCCGTTCATTTACGGTTTTCAGATGTTATTTTGTATAATGTGAACTGATATCGTTTAGGTTGGTTGCGTACATTGCATATATATGAATGCCTTGAATACCTACATACATATTCCCTTAGAATGGTCTGAAAGGCTGTATAAACTTAAAAACTCTTTTTCTCTTTTCTCTCTCTCTCTCTCTCTTCTCTGGTCTCTGGTAATGTTTTATAGAGCAAGACAAGCAAACAAAACGACTGACCCGATGGAGTCGACACATCCGAAGTATTCACCGGCCTTGTACGTCCGCAGAAGTTTGCCGTCATCCTTTATTTCTGACACCTGGTCAGATGTGGGAGGTTTCAAGGGGCGTGAGGAGGATGGTGGTTGTGACGAATGGTTTTGATGATGATGATGAATAATGATGATGATGATGAATGGTTTCCATGATGATGATGATGATGATGATGATGATAATGGTTTCGATAATAATAATGATGATGAATGGTTTTCATCATGATGATGATGATGAATTGTTATGGTTTGGAGATTTGAATGAGCGAATAATGTTTGACGTTATTTTTAGTTGCCTTGTTAAAAACTTTGAATAATAATACTCTTGCGAGTTTAAGAACCACAAAAATATGCACAGACAACGTCTGCATTGAAAATATTGAGATAAAATTGTTTTAAATACAATTGAAAACTGACAGAAAACATTTTCATAACTAACAACTCCTTTGGAGATGATGTACAGGCAGTTCACGATGTCATGCTGGTTGATTATTTTGCTGTTCTTCGAGTACACCATCTGTTGAAAATTTATCTAAACTGATTAAAGGTTAAAGGTCAATTGCACTCCTCCTATGCTCAGAGGAATCAACAACACGCCCAAACACCCTGTACAAATACATGCAAAACGCTGCATGACGTACGAAGCACGTGATGGGCAGAGATCGAATCGAACCCGGTCATATAAAGATTTTGTTTAGGGGTATGTAGGTGTGTTTTTGTGTGTCTGTGTGCGGGGGCGTAGTTATGTGTGGGTGGGTGTCTGTGTACATTTCGTTTGTTATACAGTGTGTTAACACTTGCTGATAAGGATGAATTATAAAATTAAACAAAAATTTGAATTCCAAAATGTGAAACAGCAGACATCACGAAGTCAAACTCATGTTGATATTCTTTTATGAACAATGAAAAAAAAATGCATTTTTTTTTATATTATTTTGTATGGAACATTTTTTCATTTGTTAATCTTCAATTTGTTATTCCACAGAATGTTGGACTATGCCAAAGTTGTGGAATAAACAAATGCTTCCAACGATATCTATTTACCAATATTTATAAACGACTCAATGAAGCATGAAAAAAACTTCATGACAAATGTGTAGACACGGGTTGCAAAACTGGACTAATTTCACAAGTTAATTTAATGAACTAGCGTTCAAACTCCATTAAATTCTTATCAAAAATTCAATCTTTTTAGCATTTTGGTGGTCTGTTAGTTGATATTGTTTGTTTTATTGAGTTATTTATTAATCAAGATTATAATTTTTTAAAATCTGACGTGTTGTAATTAAATGGATCGGTTGAATGGATTGGTTGAATGGATTGATTGAATGGATTGATTGAATGGATCGGTTGAATGGATTGGTTGAATGGATTGGTTGAATGGATCGGTTGAATGGATTGGTTGGATGTATCGGTTGAATGGATTGATTGGATGATCCAACTCGATAGATCGACTGTTGAAATAATATAAACATTCACTTCATCCAAAGTGTCCACGAGATGCTTCAAGACATTTTCACTTTCGTTCCTGTACTTCGGAACTCTGTTAACGATAACACAAGTTAATTTTTAGCGCTCATCAGCGCACCAGCGGTTGACACACAAGATCAAAAAAACTTCGTCGAGGAATACGAAGCAACAAAATTGTCGGCACCCCAAAGTACACGCACTGAGCACCAGTATAAAAATATGCACATTAAACTACTAATCAAAGAACAACTGCCACAACTATTTCAGCAACGATAACAACAACGACGATACTACTACTACTACTAATAATAATAATAATAATAATTAATAATAAAAATATACAAAAGAATAACAATAATAATAATAATAATAACTTTTTAATGAGCTCCATTTTTTCTTTTTCCTTCATCATCTCGGCCCGGATGAGAACTCCCTGGTAGACGTGCCTATCGAGTGCCCACAACTTGCAGGGGTCCAACGCTGACGGGAAGGAGCAGCAAGAAAATTAACATCAAACTGAATTCAGGACTAAACATGACTCGAACTACTGCAACGATATTTGGATGGATGGTTGCATAACAAAAATAACATTCAGTTCACCATGTGAATTTAAACATACAACATCATTTATACAATAAAGAACTCACATAGAACATGCACACTTACCATAATTTTGAATGAATGAGAATGATAAGAAGAAAGAATGCTCCAAGATGCAAACGAACCTGTGACAGTGGCTGTCCTGGTGCAGTTGTAGAGGACAGCCAACTCTCCGAAGACCTTCCCCGGAGTCATGACGGACAGTCGCATGCCTTCCTTCGTCACCTCCACCAAACCAACTGCGTCGTGTTCCAAATTATCTTTCATTACAACCAACCATTTCCAGCCCAACAACTTTCAACTCCATCATTAACTTATAACATGATATATTTTTATAATATTTGCATACGAGCGTCCAAACCATCACATTAATTATCGAAGTTCTCAAAAATTAAATTAAGCGAGCAATACCTTGAAAAATAAAAAATGTTGTTAATTATTTGCTTATTTGTTTTATTATAGTTAGCCAACAAGATTTTTTAAATAATTAAACTTATTTGTCTTTACAAATATATTTTATAAATTGCAAATATAATTATACGTGTACTCAAATGATTGATTCAACAGCATTTATGCTTCAAGATGTAATTGTTCTGAAAGGTGCTTGCTTTAATACTCAATTAACTCTTATGATTAAGTGGGTGATTGATGAGTTACTCAACTTCATAAAAAGGTTCAATTTAAAATCAGTGGCTGTCTGGTGCAATTTTAAAATTATTTGAATTTGGTTAACACCAAATAAGATATCTGGCTAAATTATTTAAAAAAAGAGTTCTTACAAATACTTCTCGGACAACTCATGTCATATACCGCAGACATTCTGCTTTTAGCAGAAATCCCACACGTGATTAACATTGCCGCATCTGCATTGATGCTAGACAAACGACGCTTCCATCAGACGAATGAAACTTTCAACGACAGAAAAGCATTCTGCAACTTCAGCAATGCTTTCTATAACACAAATAAAAATTTCTGTAACACAAACGACATACAACTCAGGTAGCTACGCCACATTCATCATTAGGTCATTTTGTATGTGACAATGAAACCAAATAAAAAACAAAAAGATAGGAGAACAACAAAACACAAAAACCAAAGCAGAACAAACAGCACAACAACATGTTAACATTTTGAAGCAATTACAATATCTAAACATAAAAATTTCCAAGTGCTTTGCAAATTCTGGCGAGAATGCATACTCGATCATCAAAAAACTGTCCCCTGTCATTCAGGTGTGCAAATAGATGTCTAACAATGTACGAACGTACGTATGTTGTGTGAAAGAGATGTAGTTATTTATGCACGCACGTTGTGAAAAAGTAAAATTATTTGTGTACGTGTATGAGCTGGGCAAGTGAGTTGCGGCACACCAAAACATACCCTCCATGACGTAGACAATGGAACCAACATCTCCTTCCTTGATGATGACACTGCCCTTCTTGTACTCGACCGGGTACATGTGCTCCACAATTTCTTTTATGTTCTGAGCTGACAGGTTCTTCATGAACTCGTTGCTGCGGATTGCTTCAATCAGGAAATCTTTTGTCCTGGTTTCAATGTGACAATATTTAGGTTTTACCATTAATTTCAATAAAATTTGTTGGGTTTCAGCAAGTTTTGACCCCAAAAGTGAGTTTCGGTTTTTGCCTAAAGTCAGTTGAATCTTCGGTTTTGCCAAAACTTAATTTAATTCTTTTTAGATTGCTATTGTAGCGAAAACGTTATTATTAATTGAATTGCATGTATGAAGTTAAAATATAAAGTTGGTCGTTATTAACAAGAAACAAAACTTTATATTACATTTATGCTTACAGTTTTACAGACCTACAAACACACACCACACACACATACAGAGAGAAAGAGAGAGAGAGAGAGAGAGAGAGTGATACACATATTTATAGTGGGAATAAATAACTGGTTTACTACTAAGAAGTTCTGAATATTCGTCTTAAAACGTTAAGTGAATATTTTAATAAAAAAAATTTGCTTTTTTTTAGCAGTCAATCGTAACAGAAATAAGAATTTCTTTTGAAAAAAAACATATAATTTTATTCTTTATTAACTAACAGAGCCTTTATTCTCATTGTTCCGTCAAAAATTTTATTTTATTGAGAAGATCTGCCATCTTGGCCAAAATTGAAACAAAAGACAAAAATTTGGATACTGTTAAAATTTCAATACTGATGTTAGAGTTCATTCTTTTGGTCCAACCGTTGCACAAGACTTGTTTGATGACTGAATTTTGAATAACAACAATAACAAAAAATACTTTTCACATACGGTGTCGTTGGTTACCTAAAATTATTTTGATTAATAATAATGCTTACTAAGATTGATCGTATATTCATTGTTGCTGAAAACATATACCAAAGCGAATTATTTTAACTTCATTGTTGATTGTTATTCTAATTGGATGCACAGTTTGAAATGGAACTGACTAATTAATTAAAATGTTTGTACGACTCATTAACTGCTTGGACAATGTTTTAATTAAGCAGAACATCGTTACAAACCTCGATAGCAATCATTTATGCGAATTTTATTTTTTTCAATTTCTTAAAAAATCTGAACAATAAAAAATTGCACGAGCTGGTTCCAGGTTCCACAAAGATGATGTGATGACACAAACGTTGACATAAACTTTTACAAATTTATTCCATCTTTTATCAATAAAACCTCTTTGGTCACGTAATTTGGTATCAACACGCTCTTACCAATTGTAATTTAAGGTTTTCTTGTATAACTTTATATAAATATTCAATTTCAGCAACGATCGAACAGCATTAACGACTGGTGATATTTTGCCATTGATTAGCCACGATGAGGTTGTTTTAACGTTTCCACGTGGCAGGTGAATGAATTTTCGGGAAAAAAAATATTTGGAGCTGCAAAGGAAGAACGTACTCGACAAAATTTCACTCAATTTGGCTCAAGAAATTTTGAGAAAATGGAGAATACCGACAATTTTTATCATTCAACCGACACTGTATTTGTTTATGTAACAGTTTTCTGCTATGTAGACCAGTTTGTTCATGTACACAACTTTTTTATTTACCTACTACACAACTTTGTTAACAATAAATATCGCAGCATGATATTAATCAATAACTGCATTTGTTTGACAGTCTCAGCGTTCATTTATTTTACGTATAAAATGTAGTTTATGTATAAATCTTGTTTAGACAGGAATTTTATTACGTACATCGTTTTTGTTTATACAAACAATTTATATGTGTGCATAATTTATTGCAAAGGAATGGTTAAGAAAATAGTTCTCGTTCATTTGAAACGTCGATTACACTTAATTAGGAGCACTTTATTTGCGTCATCATCTTCCGACCGACCGTCAAGAACGCCACGAACTGGCGGCGAACTCCTAAATGAATGACACATAATTGCACTGGCCGAAATTGCGATTACTGCTAATAAACGAAAGTAAATCATCATTAAGCACTCGAACACCAACAACAACCAGGCATCAAACAACAACGACAACTGCATACTGTCTTATAAATTACTGTACTACAAATAAGGAAATGTCACTAGTTGGAACATCAGCACAGAACGATAAACAATTAGGCGCAACTGCATTGAACACCTGTTAATTTAAAATTTGACCCAGTAATTTGTCAATTTGTAACATATGTATTTGAATATTGTTTATATGAGTATACATTTTTTTTATCAAATAATTCATTTTTTAGCCTACATATTTAGCTTTTTAAACATAGATTCATAAGTTCTTAAAACTAAGTTTTTTAAATGTAATGAAAGAGGAGGTGAAGGTTCGAAGTTGAAGATTGTAGGGTGAGCTTTTGCTGAAAGTGAAGGAAAACAAAAATTCCTAAGTTATTAATTAGGCATTGTAGTTGTGAAGAGTTTTAACCTTCAGCATTGTCAAAGTTATATCGGGAGTATCATTATGTGAAGAGACCACAATTCTGCTGAAGCGCTTATTGACTGGTCCATTTCAATGCATCGGACTTTCCTATCTAAACAAGTCCAACTCTAATGCCATCTAACTTTTTTGTTTGAATTTGGTTTGTTATTTCATAACAGTTATTGTTTCATTTAAAGCGGTGAGTGTTCACGCTTGACGCTTTCAACGGTCACATGTTGACAGGGGTTCAACTTCCAACCTTTCGACATCACACGCACACAAGCTAAACTTTCAAATGATGTATTTAAAAATTGTGCTGATGGTCAAGGAACGCCAAAAAACTGCAAAAGTTTCACAGAATTAAGAATACAGGCAAATGCACACAAGAAACATTTTCAAACATCGGCATCATCATCTCCAAACAAACATGACTAATTATCATTATTAAGTCACAGTCACCGCAGACATTTCGTCAATGCGACATCCAAGTTGTCAATAATATTTTTATTAACTCCAGCAGCCACCATAAAATGAAAATGTAAGAATTGAACTGCTTAACATTTCAAAAAATGTAGTTACTCAACCACACAACTGAACAAACGATGTCGAAACTAACTTGGAAGATTTAGGGTGCGACTTGAATTGCTCGGTCGGAAGATCTTCCAAGCCCTTCAACTTCTTTGGTTCAGCTGAAATTCCTTGCGCTCTCACCTTGCGCCGTGAATCTGCCATGAGTCTGCTGGCGGGCGTTGGAATGATGCTCTTGTACTTGTCCAACTGGCTGTACAAGTCTTGAATTGTCTGATCTTTCTCGCTGATAACCTTTTCCAACTCTTTAATTTTCATTTCCAATTGTTGAATCTTCGCATTCAACTGGTCCAATTGCAGATTCTCGTTAGATCCCATGTTGGTGGCTGTATGTAGATGCGAACTGGGGGCGGTTGTTGTCGTTGATGATGTGATATTGCTCACAAGTTTGTTGTTGGTGAGGATGTTAATGTTGTTGTTGTTGTTGATGTCTGTGTTGTTGTCGCCCTTGGTGTTGGAGATGTTGATGTTGTTGGTAACGTTGTTATTGAGGTTATTGTTGGTGCTTGCAGGTGCTGCAATATCCTCTCGTCTGCAAAAGTTCATGATAAATTTTACACACATTATTCACGAATAAGACATTCACGTCATTTTAACTAATCAGTTGAATGGTTTTACTTTTTTTAATTTTTAAGCAATTGAAAACATTTGAGATATGATATGAATTGTATGTAGTTAGCAAGAAACGAGTGCGCGCAATTTGCTAGAATTAGAGCTTTAATAGCGTGCAAGTTGCAAAGAGCAATTGAGCTTATCAATTGTACCATTATCTGCATAGTTTAATTCTGAAATGCACGATTATAAACTATTCTTGGAACCTTGTCTGCTTGATGACACTAAATATAAATTATCAGATAAAATTGTAATAAACATGTCACATGTGTACGCTGTTAGCCTTGTATAAATTGCCAAAAGAATAACATCGCAACTTCAACACAAACAAAAATTAATTGTTCATATAAATGCTTCCTGCTATTGTGCAGTAGTTTCTTATATGTTTGTATACACATTTAAAAGTTCAGGTGAAAATAAAAAACTCAAAATAGTGGGAAATAATTAATTTGGTGGGCAATCACACTTTTTGTGAAAAACTTACCAAAGAGTGAATAAAGAAGAGAGAAAGAAGATTACTTTCTACAAATCGATGAAAACATTTCAATAAAAGCCATTAAGAATGTTTTAATCGGACCACATTCAGAACTGGTTATATTATAGTGGTGTGGTCCAATTAACCGAGTTTAAGTTTAATTTCTTATAAAAACGTTATAAATATGATTTTCGAATTTTAAAAAATTAAAATATTTTTGCAGTTGCTGCTTATTTATACGAGCATAAATTTAGTTCACCTGCACAAAATTATGATCAAACATGGCATAGAATCTCGTTTTAATCTAACTTTTGTTAATTTTTTAAAGTTCAGACCTTTAATGATTGAAAGAAGCAGAAAAAAACAGCTCGAACTTTACAGATTTCATCAATTGATTCACAACGTCTGTCTGCTCATATTCTTCACATTATATTTTATTCTCATTTTAATTTCATGTATACATCATGTTGCTATTTTTTACGATTTGGTTGATGAGCTGAATGAGAAATTCATACTACCACTGGTCTGTGTTATTCCAGATGCGTTGGTTAAATGGTTGTAATGTTAATGCGTTGGTTGTAAGGTGTCGGTTCATAACTCATACATGTTGGCTAAGATGTAGGTACCCGTTGAAAACTAATTATTACCAAATAATTTGCCAATTGATTCAAACTCTTTTAAAACTGAATGTAGTCAATAAATTTATTATTCAAATCAACTAAAAAAAAATGTTATTCACAACTTTTTACTCATTAAGAAAAATTTTAAAAGTAATTATATTTGCACGAATTGCATGTGAAGGTCTTACGAAAATAATATGCATCAGAGATGTAGAAACAAATCATATTAAAAGTATGGCTGGGCAAAAATTCAACCCGAAAAAACAATTTGTGCTAAAAATTAATTAATTGCTGCCAATTCATTTTCTTAAATTATGCGCTTTTAATTAATATTAGATGAATCCTAATTAGTTTCTAACTGCAAGCCACACACAAACAAACGCGCAACACCAAAACACCTAAGAGGAATTGTAACGATCATGTACAAAAAATTATTAAAAAATACTTTTTACGAGCCTTAACAAACGACACCATACACAGTTGTTTGTTGTGTGATCAAATGGTTTGAAAAAAGTTCAAATCTCAATTAAAGTAGAACCGCTTGAAGTTTGTTCTTGATTTACAGTCATCTTCGAACAGAAGTGGCATGAGCTAAACTTTTGAAAGCCACTCTTACATAAGAGTTGATAGGTCAGCCAGAAATGCTGTTGCATAATTTTTCACGATGTTCAGTTGTTTGTCAACAGCCGTGACTCTTAAAATTAATTGTGTGTCTTCTTCTCAAGCTGCTCTGTGCAGAAACACAGTTGTTCTTGTGGGTAAAGATTGTGTCCTTCTGATTTGAATAAATCTCAATCAAATATTTACTTGACACAAAAATAAAATTTTAACATCCTGCAACAAATGAATGTCTGCTTAATTTACAAAAAAAAGATTGATCTCTTCAAACAATCGTGCAATCGTCCAAACTCTACTGTCAACAATCTAACAATAATTAAATTTTAATACTCGCCTATGTTTGTTTACAGCTTCAAATTATTTGTTTGCCCGATAAACAAAGTATTACAAAAAAAATAAAATGTTATGTGTATATATACATACATACATATGTAAAGTGTATCTGTGTGTAAAGTGAATGTGTACCGTACGGTAGAGATGCACAACAGTGCAACACAACACGTGCAACACTGCATGAAAATGATCGAACAGCAGGCAGAGCAAACATTTCATCGAGAAACTTCGCCGAATGTGTTCATCAATTTTTATAACCTCTCAGAACTGATTGTTGCACAAAAGTTAATAGTACAAATTAAAACTATGCTGCTGATAATGATGATTGATACGACGACGATGATAATGATGATGACGATGATGACGACGATGATGATGGAGATGATGATGTCGGCTGTGATGATAATGATAATGACGATGATGATGACGATGATGGTGGTGGTGGTGTTGATGAGAAGAAAAATTGCATTAAAATGGCGACGATGGGTTGATAACATTGGGTTGGATGGTTGTTAAATGGAAATTGAATGACCGCGATGATGAAAATGTTTCAGTGATTTCGCAATTGAGATTGCATTTGCATTGGTGGATCATATTCGCATTGTTGGTCCAGGATATGTAAACTTAAACCTATCCGAGTCAGCAGTGTTAGGAAGGAGGCGTTGTATCAAAATGCGTGATGGTCTCAACATTTGTAATTAATCATTCAATAATTATGCAGATTGTGTGTTGTGTGTGTGTGTGTGTGTGTGTGTGTGTGTGTGTGTCATATGTTTATCATATTAGGTCTAATATTTAATTTCCGGGTGAAATTGTATAGTGAATGTTAGCAGTTGGAGAACCTATTCTAATAAGTAAAGAGAGTTTTAATGCAATGATGATGACGATGATGATGACGATGATGATGATGATGATGACGATGATGATGACGATGATGATGACGATGATGATGATGACGATGATGATGATGACGATGATGATGGCTAGGACAAATATTATTAATATTGTCAATATCATCATCTGAATATATAATATAAAATATAACATCGGATCTCACAAATTAAAAAAATAATGAGCACTATGATAATAATGACGACAATGATAATGATGCTGATGATGATGGCGATCAAGATGACGTCAGTGTTGATGATGACAAGGAATGATAAAAAAAAAACGCTCACCCCGATCGCGACGACCTTGCAATCCACTCCAAGAATATTCGTTTAAAGTTTAAGAAGCAAATCTTGAATGTTTATTTATAAGCACCTTTCGAGTTGTGTACGCAAAAACCTGCGGATCATGAGCACGTGCGTGTGTACGAAGGCATTTATATTTATTGCAATGCCAGCCAGACACTCGAGATTATCGTACGTGGTTGTATCAACTGCACAGCAGACCTATGCAATGATGTATGATGAGATGTCGCTGGCAGTCAACGAAAGACCAACACTTGTAGCCGATGAAATAATTTAATTGTTTCGTCAAAATTTAAATTTCTTATCGAAATCTTTATTCAGTCAGTTTATCGCTGATCCGTTTGATGATAGCAGGATTCCAATGAACCAACCTTTTGGGTCTCCTACCAAACGCTCAATAAATACATGCAAGATAATTTTATATCATGTAACTTTTCTCATTATTATTATTATCAAACCTTTTTTTATATAATTCTCTTTTTTAATATTAATTAAAAACTGTTGTCAATAACACAGTTGTATTACTATTACGCTTTAATACAATTTCAATTAATATAAATATTTAACTATTATTTAAATAATCATTTTAATTTATTATTTTCACAACACTAAAGTAGTTGTTAGAATATTTTAAGTATTTTCAACAAAATCTACCTTTATAGATACGTAAATAATTATACACATGCATGTACGTTTACATACATACATATATATATATATATATATATATATATATATATTACAAGAAAAACAAATTAGAATTTTAAAAGCGATCAGTGTCAGAGCGTGTTTCATATGAGGTCCGAACTAATGAAGGAAACCAGCTAAATAAATGTAAATAAATAATGAAACAGACAGACAAACAAACAAGCAAACAAACAAACGAACGAACGAACGAACAAACGAACGAACAAACGAACGAACAAATGAACAAACAGGTACGAGCAGTGTTTGATTCAATGTAGGTAAACATCAAGTTCGGACCAGTTCAAACCATGTCTGCAGCGCACATGCCACTCACTCGCTACTGCTGCTACTGCTGCTACTGCTGCAAAACTTCATTCTCGACCTCTTTCATTTCTACGTGTCAAACTTTTGCGTGCTCGAATGTACAACATATTTACTAACTTTTATGTTAGTATTTATGTCAGCACATATGCTCTTATTTAGGTTAGTAATTTATGTTTATGACGTGTTGTTAAAGATGAAAAATTAATTAAATTTATTATTAAAAAGTTTTAGAGTTATCTCAATGTTAAATATAAAAATGTTTCAAATAGGAAAAACAAATGTTGAAATGTAAATATTGAAAATTTAACGACATGTGTTTGTGTTATGTTATAATAAAGTTAAGTATATATATAAATAAATAAATATATATATAATATATACATACATATATATATATATACAATTATACATATAGAACTTGTATATTAAATAGACGTATTATAATACGTCTTA